CGCCGATATTCAGACGAATTGATAAGAGATAACTATCGATGGGGTACGAATTAGGGCAAAAATGATTCATTTAGGATTTCGAGTGCGATAAAACTCGACACTGGGAAGGTCGTCCGAATAATCTCCACTAAAATTAAATCGAAAATTAAATAAACGCGATAACAATAAATAATCGGCTAGGCGAAATCGACGTAAACACTACACATCTCGTATATGGAATTCGGATCGACTGAAATGGTATTTTAAATATCCCGAACGGATTTCATCATGCTATTTCGCAGAAACATGTTCAGACTAGTCGAAGGCCTTACCATATGAACTTTGCGATCGAATTTTTTATTTCCATGTATACTTAATCGTTTGCGAATGTTTGAATTAAATGGCATGTAAAATAAACAAGGTCTCATCAAATTTTCAGTGCGTTTTAATCTCCGGCTTGATAGTGATGTCCCATTAAAATTCATAGGTGTAAACGGGAGCGGGAACGAGAAAAAAGGTGTCGAAACAAACACCAGGTTTTCCTCGCTGAAATTACCCGAAATTCGACATGCATTCGGCTTCCTATCGGCGGCGGCGACAAGAGGGGGTTCTCATTAAATATTTCAATTTTCTCGAAGAACCATAAAGAGTCGGTAGTAAAATATGAAAAGTCGACGTGGAACAGTCGACGAAGTTTCGCCGGAACGGTTTCGGGACAGTGACGTAGCGAAAACTCCAATTCCGTACAGTTGTCGGTATTAATAAATTGTAATTTGCTTTACATTTCAGTCGACGAAATGCACAAACTTCTGTTCCCTTTATTTTATTATATCTTTCTATAATTAGGTAGGGTGTTTCCAACAAAACTTTCCCAACGGAATCTAATTAATAACTTCGGATAATAATCCTCGTCAAATTTTAAACCTCACCTGTAATTGAGTAATTATAGTCGTAAAAAAATGAAGTAGTACGCCCCTGTCGATAGGATTCTGTGCTTATATTGGCCTTAAAACAAGTAGCACCAAGATATAAAAGCCCTATTAAGATTACAGTTTATAATATACGTGTAGCGAAGTTATTATTTCGGCGTTACGAGGGGGCCGATTTTAATTTCGCAACCAGCCATCAGAGGAAATTAAATTTGACACAGAAATGGCGAAATTGTTCATAATCGTAACGAAAGTTCGCGTTATCTGGCATCTCTATATCGCAACCTCAAAATACAACAACTCCGAGATATAAGTTGTTTATGTCTGGGTTACTTCTGTAACGCAATTTCAACTTCTGTTTTAATGGCGGAATAAGCTCCGCCGAAGAGCCCCTCATTAATTACGGGGGAAACTCGGGGATTACGGCGCCCCCAATTTCGCCCCCCCTTTCTAGCAGACTTTCCTGCTGGAAGAACGGAAAAGGGTCAACCGATTGTTGCAGGATATACCTTCAATTGCATACTTATATACCAATCTATAACTATATTTTCTTACCCTAGATCTATTCTATATATTTTATTTTAACGTTATTTTTACTCCGAATCAAGGATTTTTTTATTAATAATTTTCTATCGTATTACGAATGCCAAACTGTCTAGTAATTACGGGTAAATATTGACTTACCTCAACGAAAATGTAACACAAATTCACAGAAGCAATATTTCTACGTACGGTAATTACTGTACAAATATTTAAACGAATCGAATAATATAATAGTAATCCTCGAAGCGAAATCCTACTCGGCGTTCCTTTTATTGTTGTGGCATTCTTTTGTGGGAGCGCGATAAAAAAAATTGTATGCGAATTATTAACGTTTTTTTTATGCGATTTAAATCGTCCGCAAACAATTTTATCTCCATCTTTGATTCATTTTTTTTTATTTGATCATTCCGAAATGTAGTAGGAAATTGTCATTGTGTTTCCCGAGTGTATTTTCGCGTTATTCACGCCGGGTTTGTTTAAGTAATTCTTCGCTGTATGTTATCACATGATTGTTCTAAGAAGCTTCAGGTTGTAAAAATTGAGCGAACGTGGAATTATGATTTAATTGTAAATAATATGTATGCACAATATATTTAATTGTCGTTTATAATATTCAGGATTAAAACATTCGTTTGATATTTCGAATGGGTACACTTGATATTGACTTTTCGCCTCAACTCCGCCAAACTCGCCTCAAATATTCAAAAATTGTAATCTTAAAATCATTAAGATTTCTCGAACTCAATTTTATTCTTTAATTTATGTATGTAGGTGGTAGGTAAGTAGGGAACTTTATTCTTCGAACATCGCCATTAATAAGTTCACCAATTATTCCATTACTCGAAACGACTGTTGAATTAGAATAAAAAAACACACAGAGAACATAAAAGGAGAGCAACATAATATATTTCACGTGTCGCTGTGATAGCACGTATCAACCGAAATAACATCCAATTTGATTAGCGGTGATTATGGCGTCGCTTTTAACACGAAAACGAAACGAAAGGCTCTGTGTGTGTGTGTACGAGACAGGATACTTTTAGTATAATGGGCCTGTGTCACACAAGATGCGTGAGTAACGACATCACGCGTGCTACGCCGAACATGTTCTAAGTGTATTTGTAACTAGCGGCAACACAACTAATACACCAGCGTGCGGAAAGTGAAAAAAACAAAGCTAGATGGAAGGCAGATTGGTCGTTTGTGCGTTATGAATAATAATTTTTTTTTCCCGTCGTCGTTGATTACTCGTAATACGTCAAAGGTGCGTTTGCGGCGCTAATAATAGGGTAGGTGCTTGCCTATAAGGGCGAGCCCTACCGGCCCTACGCCAACTGCCGGGGAATGTGTAATTAACGGTTGGGTTTTTTTTTCCAATTTCGTTTCGGTAGATCATCTGAATTAATTTCCTTCGGATGAGGTGGAGAAAAAATTGTGCGCCGAAACCCTGTAGACTTGTTAAACGGCGAGTCAAACAAACCCGAGATACCTACATATATTCTCAAGAAGGCTGTAATTAAACGATATTGAACTTTTCAACGTAACGAGCCTTTTTTTATGCAAACACGGGAGACAACGAATGCGCAAAGCGAATGTAAACACGCGCATTATCATTTGTTTACGTCTTAAATATGTGTGGTTGCAGCTTGTTTGCATAATTTTTTTATCTTTCGCATGATGCCGACCTTGGATTGTGTCATCTGCATGTGTTCGCGATTTTTTGCAGAAATTAATACCTACACCGGCTATTCGCAAACAATGCCGCGGATTTTCGCTTTTTAATCCGCCTTATTATGCGATCGTACGTCGCGGAAAACCGCCGGGTTTTTTTTATTAAGTCGCAGAAAAGCACGCATGTTTATCGAATTAATCTGTCGTTTACCTGGTTTGTTTTCATTCATGTGCGCGTCGCTCGCGCAAACGTTTCCACATAATTCATCTAAATCCGTTTCGCAGTGGAGTTTCGGATCGTGTGCCAACAAAAAATCCGAAAATTTCAACGTCTAAATGCAGCCCCGGCTGACCTTGCAGGATGCACGCAAACATCTGCTTTTTAGAATAAAATAAACCGAACCGGCGATGGAATGTCGAAGAGTCAAATTCGCGCTTATTAAAAATACAGGCGATTTTTTTTTCTTCCAATTCGGAATCGGAACCGTTTATTGCCCGCCCCTCGCTGCAGGATCGACCTTATTCCGGCCGCAGAGACGGGCACTTACAGGATTATAGCTGATAAGAGGACGCCGGTCGGTTCTTACCAACTTTGCAATTTTCTACATGCCCCTCCTTGGGGTCGAATCCGAAATTATCACGTTTCGGACTAACTTCCACGCTTCCCAGATTTCCTGGTAGAATACTCGACAGCCGGTTTGGGTCGTAACTTCCCTATTTCATCCCAATGTTCAAACAAAAAAAAATTACTAGATAAAATAGCGTTACTTCGCAAACGTTCAAAATATTCAAGATCCACATTATACTGCAAAATTCAATACTTCACTAATTCTCTACTCTCTATAGGTACTCTACTACTCATAAATCTGGAAATCCTGTAGTTCATTTAATTCCAAAACACGGTGTATAGTTTACACATTTTGCATAAAAATGCACTAATGCATCTACATTTCACTTTACTGCTAATTACAAACTAGATTTCATCGGGTATATTAGGTTTATATGGCATCGCCTCGGGATGCGCTCGCGTAATCCATACCGAATTTCGACCGGGAGGAGTCGCTGTTAAAGATGTTTGGATAGAATTTATCACGACAAGCCGGGTGTATATTTACTCCGGTGCAGTCGGGATCATTCATAAAATCGGCTAATCCGGCGGGCTCGTATTCCCCGGTTTACGTTGCGCTGTCGTTAAAAAGCGCCCGTCCCCGGGCCCCCCGACTGCGCCGCGATAATGCGATGTAGTTAAAATTTTATTGAAATTTCGTGCACGAATTCGCCCGGCGTGATTTATTCAAATGGGTAAAGGTGAAGAAGGTGGATGGATGTCTATTGAATCTATTAAAAGGGGAAATGAATTTTTAAACGTCGCGAAGAAAGGGTATTTATCAAGCGACGGTATGTTGTTGATATGATGAACACACGCTATCGTAACAATCAAATTTCTACTAAATAATTAATGCGAATCTGTAATATTTACTCCTTTTTAATGCCCTATTTGGGTGAAGTTTAAGTTCTTGAAGTTAACTCATTATATTGCTCGAGAAATCAGGGATGCAATAAAAAAATGAAGAAATTAGGAAGGACATAATTTTCATGGTGGCTGTCTGCATAAGTTATCTGAAAGTTCGAGTCGAAGCATTCGCCAAACTAAATTGAATCATAAGGAATAAATAATTGAAGTTCTTTGAAGTTCGTCGAGTAGAAACATTAAATATTTATTTATAAACTCCCTAAAACTTTGAGCAAACTATTAGTAAATAACCGTACGGCGTACGCTAAATAAATAAAGTAATGGTAGCAGGAGTTTACTCGGCAATAGCACTTATTTCGGGCGAGTGAAACGCTACCTAATGGAAGGAGAAGATTAAAAGGCGATTTATTTGCCATATTATAATATATTTAACAGCAACTACAATACAAAATTTACACACTATATAATAACTTTAATAGAGTAATATGAATATAATACATATGGGCTTAAAAAATGCCTGAAATATACACCAAGGTAGTAATATGCAAAAATATTGCTAACTTTAATTTTTTTTACTTTCTCGTCGTCCGCCAGAATTAAAAATCAACAACGCGACAACCTAACTTTTATTTGATTTTATACAAAAAAAAACCCATCGCCGGAATTTCGACTTGAATTGAAAGACAAGTCAAAACTCCCCCGACGTTCACTAATAATTATTGCAAAGGATTGCATAAACCCAAAAAGGCGGCCGAAGGACCGCCGAAAAAGTCCATCCTCCGGCGGTCGTTCGGCGCGCCTTTCACGAATAAACAGTACATTTTAACAAAAACAATTTTTACATGAGCAATTTTTACAGATTATGTACAAAGGTGCGAGATCGATTGTGGAGCCTGCTTCCAAAACGACACGGGAGTCAAAAAAAAAACAACGTCCGCATAACAAAATAAACGATAAGCGCAGTACCCTATGAACCTACATCTAAATCAGTCAACAGTACGTCTGGAATAAAGACAGCAACCGACCCGCTTCAAACAATGTTTTTATTGGGTACAAAAATACACCGAAATAAACCCGTCAAAGCCTGGATTTTACACTTTATTATTGGACCGGATGAGTCGAATAAAGTTTACTATCCGCTGGGATATTATTCAGATATTCACCACCTGTGAATCTTCGTATTTAGATATAATGTAAATCGAGTTTTTAATTGCACTTATCCCAATTCTCGGCCGGGCACTTTGACAAGTTTATTGTACTCTACTTTATTCATACTTACAGACAGGCCTCTTAAAATTTCAAAATTTCAAAACTCTTAATATATATTTATATATTTATAATATTATTATTAATATACGGACAGTCCAAATCTAATAATAGTAATGCTAGTACACTGAAAGCACACATTGGCGCCGCTATAGCGCTTTCAAATATATATTTTTTTATTTTCTTGTTATAAGAATATCGACGTTGCTCTCTACGTTATACTGAAATTTTTTTTAAAAACTTTAATGCTATTAATTGTCTATTACAAAGTTTGTGCGTTGATTTTTTTTTTGTTTTAAAAAATTACCAAAATGGACCGTTAGCGTAAATGTATAGGTACTGTTCTCACTGGCAGGCGATTCCCTGGCGAATCGTCCGATTCCGTGGAAAATCGAAAACCGCGCAAAATTTTCACCGACTAGAATCGAATGGTATTTTCGTTTATTTTCTCCCTTCTTTTTTTCTTAAGTACAACTAATCGAAAAAATTTTGTTTAGCTTCGTACCGTTAAAACATATAATTCAACCCGAATTGACAGCTGCACAAACGTTACTATTCTACTGTTTTATCGATTTTTTTTTATCGAATATCGATTTCTACAACTACTACCACCCAAGTGCTCGATTTTAGGTAAAATTTTTTACAGCTTTACAAATCGGAATTCTATTTGTTTTTTTCTCTTTTAAGTACAATTCTGGACGAACTTAAATAAATTAATAAATACGACGAATTTCGTTTTGTTGGACCAACTTTTCGCTATTTAATTAGAATTTTTGTCAAACCGGACGCAAAATTAGTAATCGAAAACACTAGAATGTTTACCTATTAGTTATGAATGTAAATTAGTTTTTAGGCTTACCCTGTGAAAACAACTGTACCGATTAATTTGTAAAACAACTAAGCGAGATATACAGGGTGTTGAGGGTTGATATATAATCGATTTCTTTGCGACACCCTGTACATGCGAGAATGAAAATGATAATGAGACTCTTCTCGCACGACGATATAAAGATTCTTTCTATCACATTTTAGTTAACTAAAAAACACCAGGCGAGAACGTTTAAAACGTTGACGGAGTGTTTTTATTTATCCATCGAGTTTGAATTTTAGCAGTTTAAAGTTGTTTTAAAAGAGCAAACCTAGCTTGAACGTTTGAAAATCGATGACAAATGCATGCACCCGAAATCGAACCTAAGTATATGCCAAAAAGTAACCGCTATTTACAAACAGAACAGAACAAAATGGAGAAAAGAAAAAAAAAATAATTTGTTATACCCTGTTTAAAATTCAGAAGGTATTTTACTCGCTCCGACCGTTGAATACGTTATTTTTTGGCGATAACTTTTCCCTTATGACATACTTATACACATATATATTTTTTCATTTGTAACACCAACGTTGCTGAATTGAAACGAACCGAAGTTTAAGCAGCTAGCAGAACCAACAGTAAAATGACTACACGGACTTTTGACAACTAAATATTGGTCATCGAATAGATGAATCACAGCCTGTTTTTGTTTTTTTTTCTGTTACCGTTTTATGAGGTGAACAGTATTTAAAAAGTCGAAAACTAATGCCGGGCTACCCGGGGTCGACAAACGTACTGAGCTAGGCACTATTCGTGTACAATCATTTTAGAGAGAAACGACATCAATGAGACCGAAATAATCGACAAAATCAACTTCCGTATAAATTTCATAGTACGAACAAACACGCCGTTTAATAAAATATCCGTATGTACAAAATACAATTATTAATAAAAAACTTTACACGAGTTCTCGATCTAAAATGACTGGCTTACTGGTAGATTCTGGTAATACGTTATGATAAATACAAAAATAATAAACATAAAATGAGATCAATATTGGGGTTAAGAATATTTATAACAATATAAAAATTGTCGATGTGGCCATCGTTTTATATAATGAGGACCAACCCCAAAATATTTAACAGTATCGTGTATTCTCCACACACAGTAAAATCTCAAAAACAGTCTTAGTCTCTTTCAATGGATCATATATTCATTGTTTTGCATATCACCCCAAGTGTTTTCATTACACGAGAACAACGGGATGTCCTTCGGACAGGAGAAGTCTAAATGCGAACTGGAACTGTTCGAAGCCGTGTCGAAATTCGTATCGATATCAGCCAGCTCCTCCAAATTCAACCCGTCCATCGGGAACAAATTGATACCGTCCAAATCGTCTAACGTCGTCACCGTGATCTGGGCGTGCGGCAGCTTATCCTCCGGCTCCTCTTTGATCGTCGAAAAATTGCTCACCCACGTATCGTCGTAGATGGTCGCGCTCTCCGGCGAATCGGGCGTATCGCACGAAGGACTCGACGGCACTTTGGCCAGGAAGCTCATCGGCGGCAACGGCACGCTCTGCCTCAGCAAATCCTGCTGTTGTTGCTGCTGCTGCTGCGTTTCCTCGCCGGTCTGCTTGTGCTCGGCCAAGCCCGTCAAACGGAACTTCAATTTCGACGCCACCGATTCCGGTACGGCGCTGCGCCTCGCGAATATCTTCTCGTTCGACGGCGACGTGTTGTTGTTCGTATCGTTCTTTTGCACCTTCGATTTCTTCGATTTCTTCGAGGCGCTCTTCGGCGCCGGCTTGGTGCTCTTCTTTCTCGGACGGTACTTGTAGTCCGGGTACTCTTTCTGGTGCAACTGGCGCAATCGCTCCGCCTCTTCGATGAACGGCTGGCGCTCGTCGTCGCTCAGCTGCTTCCATCGTCTGCCGAGCCGCTTCGATATCTCGGCGTTGTGCATGTCCGGGCTCACCTCGCAGATTTTTCTGCGCTCTATCTGCGACCACACCATGAACGCGTTCATAGGCCTTTTGATGTGGTTCGGATTGTTTTTCTTCGTCTGTAACAAACAAACGGAAATTTATCAATATTATCATCACACTATGCATATAAACTGATCCACAAAAGTTAAGGAAGTTCGCAAATTTTGCGATTACAGACTTTTTGATCACCACATTTTCAAATATGCGAAATTAAATGTTTTCTCTCATATCTGAGAGAAATTACTTTTAAATTAATCTCAATATTTGTAAACTTCCTTAAGTAGTGAAATGCCCAAAATTTGCGAAAACGGGTTTCTTATACGGCGATAGGAAATCTCGAATAGATGAGTCAGTGTGTGACCGGCGAATGCGGCTTAGGCGAGTAAGCGCGCGTGGCAAGGGGAGGTTGGGAGGACAGTGTCAAGCCGGCGTTGGCGTGGCGAACTACAATTCGGCGAACGGCGAATATCGGCGACCTATTAATGGCGATTATTGGTGTTGTGATAATAAAGTGTTTTTGAGAAAACCCCGGCGTTTCAAATCAGAAGTGGGATCAGGATCAGCGCGCGAAGAGGCCTAAGGCGAAGGATTTTCAGGAGGAAAATCTCCGGCGGAAAAAGGGCGATCTTGGTTTGTTCAGGTGTTTCAAAGATCTTAATGTTTAGGCGATTAAACTGTAAGTACCCATTTTATTATCACGGTGATATAACATACTGGAGTTGGAGTAAAATCGAAGCGGCGTATTTGTAAATTTGATCGGCGAAATACAAAGGTGAAATTCATCACCGGCGAAGGTGGTTTTTAATTTTCGCAATCGACGGCAAGCGGTGACTTGACTGGCGGTGACAAAAAAGTATAACAACGAAGCGACCGCATTCCAACGGTGATAAGCGTTTGTTTGGATTAATTTTAATAAAATATTCCAGTGGCGTAGTTTTATTTTATTTTATTTTTATTTTAACAAATTGGCGATTTGTTTATTTGATAATCTGGCGATTTATTATTATGGTGAATTAATAATAGGCGTTTAATTAATTATAAATAGCGCATGTATTTTTTTTGGCGACTGGTGATTATTACATGGCGATTGGTGATAAATACATCGCGATTGGCGATTGATGATTATTAGATGGCGATTGGTGATAAATACATCGGGATTGGCGATTGGTGATAAATACATCGGGATTGGCGATTGGTGATTTATACACGACGATTGGCGATTGGTGGATGATAGATCACGTTAGGCGATTGGCGATTAACAATTGGCGATTGGCGGATGATGATTAAGTAACACTGGCGATTGGCGGTTGACAGCTGGTGATTAGCGAATGGCGATTGGCGAAATAGTAGATTAGGCGGAAGGTGATCGGCTTTAAAGGACAACGAGAGGCGCGTAACGGTTGGCGGGCCACCGCTGATGGTTTAGTTCAATCCCTGGCCAAGATTGAATTGACGAATATCAGCAATCGGTTAAGCCACAGGTGCATTGGCGGCGGACGATGTTTCAGGATGCTTTGCAATTGCAACATGCGCTCTTATTGGGCGAGTTCAATTCGCGGTATCTTCTTTGATTGTACGATTCGCGCGTCAGCCCTGACGTTAGTGCCAATAGCAGATATTCCAATGGCGTAGGCGAAGATAAATTATTTAATTGGCGAAAATTAATAATTTACCGAAACCGAATCGAATCTTTTTAACTAGTGGGCGGTACTGGCGATGAATTCTCGATCTAGAGGCGGAACTAGATTATGAATTAGAGGAAAAATGGCGACCGGAGGAAACGGCGAAGTCAGGACGGTACAACCCGAACTTGAAGGATTTTCCGGCGGGTGAACTGGCGAATGCTGGCGAATACTTTATGCGCAGGTGAGCGTGAAGGGCGTTGAGCAGGCGAGTTCATAAAGGGCGTTGAGCAGGCGAGTTCATGAAGAGCGTTGAGTAGGTGAGTTCATGAAGATCGTCGGGCGGGCGGCTATGCAGCAGGCGTTACTATAATTCGAGAATGACGGAGAAGTCGAAGGCGATTGCGTAGAAGGCGACTCCGACACCATCTACTCTTCGTGATGGAGACGCAATCAGAGGAAGAGAGTTGTGGATGTAGGCGTTTCGACCCTTGGCGTTGGGGTTCGAGATAATCGATCATTTCGATCCTGGCGACCCGGATTCCAACGTGGACAGGTGTTTGTTCATTGGTGGGCGACACATACGACGTAATCATGCAGGCGATATTAGATGGTGCGGCGAAACGTTCCACCAGTGAGGGGAATGCAACCTCTCGTGGGAAGAAATTGCGGAAGGCGGTTTCGCAGACGACGGGACTACGGTGCAGTCCTCGTGAAGTATTTGGTCCGGCGTAAGCAGCCAACCAAGAGAATGAGGGCGTACTATTAGGTGAAGCTGGCTCTGTGATTGGGTGAAGATCGTGGCCCGAAGGAGCTCCAGGCGAATGTCCAGGCGGCAGGATTTGTTTTTACAGAGGCGTTCATGAAGGCGAAGAAGTAATGACGTATTCGGATACTGGAAGCAACTGGAACCTGATTTCTCAGAGGCGGTAAGGCGCTTAGGTGGGCAGATTTCGACGGGGCGTTACCACAGCATAAAGGCGTGTAAATTTTGAAAAGATTTTGGCGAATGAATCATCCGAAACTCAGGCGTTGGCGTTGAACTACTCTTGTAGTAAGAATTAATTGGCGCACTGGGCGTTACGACGGCGTCACAATGGTAGTACGTGGCGGCAAGACGTATCTCACCAAAGGGCCGGACATCAATGAGCTTATGAGGCGAATCACGCTTGATGTACCGAATTCGAGGAGCAAGGTATAATTGGCGGAAAATGTAGTACTCTCACCTGTGGCGGTGAATCAGGTGAAGGTCACTTTCTCGGTAGCCGTGAGAAAGGCCAGATAACACATGGGGCGCAAGCAAATTCCGATTGGGCGTTCCATCGTGATGATTTCGGCGGGTTTAATAGGCGAACATTTTTGTTCAACTAAGGCGATTCATTTAGGTGATGAGTAGGCTAGTGGGAGCGAGGCGTAGCTCATTGGGCGAGCAGAAATCTATCTGTCCAGCGAAGATGTTGCAGGGGCGATTCAACGAACCGGCGTTAAAGTGAGGAAAACGACAGATTAGTGCAGGTTTTGCAGGCGTAAATATAGGCGATACCACGGGTGACGTAAAAAGGCGATTAATTAATTTATTGATCTACGATAATGGCGGTTCGAGAAAAGGTGCAAACTCTTGGCGATAGGCGTGATAAGAGAAAGCGAATCGGCGTGTACGAGTCCCATGGGCGTTTATTCCGAAAATAATGGCGATTTCAGAATATATGGGGCGATTGATAAAATTGCTATGTGGTGAGCTGTTGACGTATATTGATGATCTACCTTACACGGCGAGCAAGAACGAAATATGGCGATATTGGAATCGGTGTTGGTGCAGAAAGCTGGCGTGAAGCTGAAACTGGAGAAGTGCTCATTTTGTAGCGAAGTATTAAATATTTAGGTCACGAGACCGATGTGGCGTGCATTAAACCTGGGTGATGTAGAACACTGGTGGTGTTATATTTTCTTGAACTTGAAGATGTCCACGGCGTTAGTCAGTTCCTAGGGGTGGCGAGTTACTAGGAAATGTATTCGAAACTTTGAATGGTTGGCGAAGCCACTGACAAGTTTGACCAATATACGTGCTGAATAATGGCGATGGGCGGACGAACAACAACTTTCGTTTGAGTTGATAAAGGCGAAATTATCAGACCAACCAATTCTGGCGTTGTACGATAGTAAGGCGGCTATCGAACTTCACACAGATACTAGTGAGCTAGGCGTATCTGGTATCTTCTTCTAATTGGCGAAGGTAAATCTCTTAGGGCGGTAGAATATTTCAACAAGGCGACTACAGTAGGTCCATCAAAGCTACGAGCTGGAAACACTGGCGGTGGAGGAGTAAACCAGGCGATTTCAAGTATATTTGGTGGGCGTTCACTTTAAGGTAACAGACTATGTGGTGGTTAAAGCGGCGTTGCTCAAAAAGGATTTGGTGCTTCGAGAGCTAGGTGGTAGCTGGCGATACAGGTGCACGATATAGAGATACAACATCGACTGGGCGTTAGTATGGCGTATAGGCGTTCGACGATAGGCGTATAGGTGATGTGTTAATTAGAAACCATCCTGTCCGAACAATAGGCGTTAACGTTGTCAAGACGGAAGAAGGCGATTGGTTTCTAACGGCGCAATTACAAGATCCTAAGGCGCAAGAGATTGTTACGTTGTTGGCGACTAATGACGTACCAACGGTTGTAAAGGCGCATTACAAATTTCAGCAAGAACGACTAGCGTAAAACGGCGACAGGCGAAAAGACGAGGTCTGACGATGGCGAAATTCGGATTGTTGCGTAAGAATCACGATGACATGGGTCATCCAGCGGTTAAACGGTGTCTGGCGGTTATCGAAGAAACTCATTGGTTTCCTCGAAAGCGGCGTTTCGTCGAGAAATATGTGGCGTTATTTCTCAACTGCGGGTTTGCAAAAGACCAATACAGGCGGGGCTTCTTGCATCCCATCAGGCGGCGGGCAATACCATTCGACACGGCGCATGTCGATCATTTAGGTGTATCCATTAGGAATATCGGGGGCACGCTTGTACACTCATTATGGCGAATGGGTTTACTAAGTTCGTGCTGGCGAAACCCTTGAAGACTCTTAAGGCGAAGACGACTATAGCACGAAAGCGCGAGGCGTTCCGCAAATTCGGCTACCCCGGTGATTGATCTCTGATCGAGGCAAGGTGTTTGTCAGTGCAGAGTTCAAGGTGTTTTTAGCAGAAAAAGGCGTTTAGCATGTATGGTGAATGCTGTAGCAACTCCTATGGCGAATGGTCAGGCGAAACGGCCAATACGACGATAGTTGAGGCGACAACTTCGACCACTGAGAGCGAGAGAGACGGATCGAGAAGCTGCCGGGCGTTGTGTGGGGTTTTAGTAACGCCACCAACTCTAGCATGCATTTCTCTCCTACTCACTCAATGTTCTCACATAATCACGGACGAGTAACCGACTTGGCGAATGGCGAGCTGATC